TGCAACAGAAGAGAGTGCAGCCAAGGCTCCCTGTAGGCAGCTGGCAGCACACCGTGGCTTGGGGCATGGCAATGCCTGAGGTCTTGCTCATTCCTGGCAGGGAGAAGGGGTGCCCTGGGCAGGGGATGCAAAGGGCTGTTATCAAAATCAGGACATAGAGTTCTCTGTGCCAGTGCATTGCAGGGCCTGTGCCAAAACCCTGATGTGAGCACTGCAATGAAAAGAAACGCTTGTGGAGGCTGAGCTTCCTCCATGCCCAGCAGGGAAAGGCAATGGGTTAGCACCACTGGGAGACCTTCAGGGAATCAGCATGGGAACCTGCCAGGTAGCGCAAGTGCTGTAGAAAACAGATTACTAAAAAAATAATGCTGACATAGGGTTGGAGAAAAAAGTTTTTTTTCTCGATAGACAAAAGAAGAAAGTCAAGAAATAGCAGATACTGTCATGGACACGTGCTTTCGTAAAGTGGAAGAATGGCCCGTGGCTTAAGACTGCTCTTCTGTTCCAAGTGAGCACAGCACACATGGGCAGGTATTTGTGAGTTAGCAGGGCTTGCTATTTTTACTTTCCCAAGATCTGAGCCTATTAACGGTGAGTGTTGAGACATAAGCAAGAACTACTGGTACCAGGATTTGAACAGCAATTGTAAACAGAATAAAAGCAGCATTATCACCAAGGTGGCCAGCACTGCTGGATTAAAGAGCAAGGCTCGCTCACAAATGAGTAATATTACGTCTCCAGCCCACAGGGCTCTACTTCTGCACCCTGGTGCCCTGGACCAGCCACGTCAGGAGATGCTGCAGCTCCCTTCCAGCCCACGTTTCTGGGGGTTTGCCATGGAAACCAGGATGTGGGCAATTACGACTGCACCACATAGATAGACGATTGGGTGAGCAGCAGACCCAGAAAGGGGGCTGGAACCAAGAGGAAGGTGGAGAGCTGTGTTGCTGCATGGTGAAGGGCCAAACACAGGCTTTCAGAGTCTATATATGAATCATATAAAGGTGCCAGTATTAATAATCAGTTGTTCTGTAATTAGCATTAAATATGATCATTTCCAGGACTGGTCCTCTGGAAACCTGGCAGTATATAAAGAAACGTGCAAATGAGTGAGCTAAAAATTCCATATACTGCAAGCTGTATGCTTTCCATAGGCTTAAGGAAAGGAGCTGGACTGAAAAGGTCAGTCATACTCCGCAATGGGTGCAATGGAAGAGCTTATGCTGGCATAGCCATTGGTTTAGCTGTTAACAGCATAACCACCATGAAAAGTTAATTCCTCATAGACTCGACCTTGATTTATGGGTTTGTGGGGTAGAAGAATGTAGAAGCGAGAGTGGTGAAACACCAAAGATGGCGAAAGGAAGGAAAGAAGACTGAGCAAAGTAGGGAGGGGAAGAACGAAGGGGAAACCTTCCAGCTCCATGGGCAATCAGGTGTTTTGGTAGGTTTGAGGGAAACATGTGGAGAGCTAAAGCAATAAGACAAGGCCTGCGGAAACATGGAGACAGATACACACATGCACCTACAGCTAAAGGAGAGGACCTGGAAGAGAAGGGGTTAGTAGGCAGAGACAAGAAGCAGCTGAGAGTCCTAGATATAGAGTAGGTAAGGAAAATTTGATTTTTAAAGATTGTTATTCTTTGCTTTTTCTTCCAGGCAAACTGGTCAAAATGCATCACTGTCCTGAAGATACTTGGCTTGAGTTATGCTCCAGCTGCCCATCGCCTCCTCGGGTCAAGCTGCACACTCCCAGTACCAGTGGCCCAGGAGCATCTCCGTATACAACCTTAGGCCCAAATTAGCCCCCTAATGGCACTCAAATATTTTCTGTGCTTTGCACAGCCCTAACCATGACACCTCTCTGTCCCTGCCCTTCAGGTGGAGGGAGCTATTTGGGGTTGAGTCCAGCCCCACAAGCTCACTCGCCCTTTAAGCAGGGTTTGCAGCAGGGGGGGATCTTAACCTCTGTAAAGACAGCTTGAACGTTTGTGCCTCCAAGGCAGTGAGTCCAAGTGCAAACCATGTGTGATCTGAATATCCTCCGCTTACACCTTAGAAACCCTGATAAAGCTGCCTCTGAACCACATATGTGGAGCAGACGCCAGAACTGGGAGACAGAGACACCTTTTTTACTCCTTGGGAGCACTTACTGGAGTAAGTGACATCTGGCTGGGGCACAGCCAGGTCATCGGGCCAAAGGCTTGAGCCCCACATCTCTCCAAAAGGCACATGTACTTTTAAGGGCTGTGTATACAAAGTGGTGTGTGTTAGCCTCGGTAAACAACGTAGCAGAGAAGGCAAAGCAGAGCTGTGCGACACTTGATGTGCTGCCTCCCGTCTGGGGGATAACAGCCTGGTGCTGTCCTCAGCAGACAAAATGCTCCTTTAAGGCAAATGATGGAGAAACATTGACTGGCGCTGTATTGCCGGGATTTAGCCCAGCTGATGGAATCATAGAGTCATACAGAAGCATAGAATTAACTAGTTTAGAAAAGGCCTTTAAGATCATCAAGTCCAGCCTTTACCCCAGGACTGCCAAGTCCACCGCTATACTGCGTCATTGAGGCTCTCATCCACATGGTTTGTGAACACTTCCAGGGCTGGTGATTCCACCACTTCCCTGGGCAGCCTGTTCCAATGCCTGAGCACCCTCTCAGTGAAGAAATTGTTCCTAATATCCAGCCTAAACTTCCCCTGGTACAGCTTGAGTGGGAGGTCCTATCACTTGTTACTTGGGAAAAGAGACCAGCCACCTCCTCTCTCCATTGTCCTTTTCAGGTAGTTGTAGAAAGTGGTAAGGTCCTCCCTGAGCCTTCTCTTCTCCAGACTAAACAAGCACAACTGCTGAAGGGTTGATAAGATAGATGGGATAATTCTTCCAAGTAATTTTTGCCCATATGTTGCACAGCATATAATGAAATAAGGAGATTCAGCTAAAGTTAACCAGCAGTTAACTTTTTTAAGGCAGTGATCCCACAGAGCTGCACATCCTCTTGATGCATACCATCCTTCAGGCATTGGCCTGAGCTGTGCCTTAGATTGTGTTAGGCTTTTGCCATAATTTCTGAGAGCTCATCTTTGTAGGTTCACTTCAATGGGAAAAATTCAAACAAACTAAATAGTAATGCAATTAAGGGGGTGGGGCGTGTGATGTGTGCTGGAGCTTAAGAAACAGTCAAAAGCATAGGGACAACAGGTATGACAAGGATGATGGAGAGGCAGCAACAGGATCATCATCTGGATGACATTTTGGAGCCTGTCTTTGCTGGCTGGAGAAGCCAGTCAGTTTTTAAATTAGAAATCAAAAGGTGGGTGCTCACTGCCACGAGATTCTGATCGTCAGTGATGTGTGTTAAATCCTGCAATGCACCAGTGACCTTGTCAGACCCCTCTTGGACCAAATGCCCCATGTGCATCTCCCAGTGTGAGTGCTCTTGCTGCTTCTTTCTAAATGGATGCATTTTTGTTGTCATGGCCATCCTCCTCAGCTATTTGCTGTGCTTGTCAAGGTCAATCAACTCACTCAGGAGTGAACAACTGTACAACAGGGTTAAGGCAATGCTGAGCAGAGCAGGGTATGAAATGATCAGTCACAGAAGTCCTGACCAATGTACAGAAGCAGTGGAGTTGATGTGGGAGGGTTGTTGCAGTGGAAAAGGCTCTGCCCACCTTGTAATAGTCAAAGAGATAGCATATGGAATAGCCTAAGGAATTAGCCTTCAGGACAGCCTGTGGAGTAGCCTCCAGGACAGTATACAGGATAGAGGATAGCACAGCTTAGGGGGCATCCTCAAGGATAGCTCACAAGATAGCCCATTGAATAGCCCTACAGTGGCAATGGCTCTCTCCTGGAAGACTTCAAGTGGCTGTTCCAGGCTGGCAGAGGAAGGATGTGAAGCAAAGGCTTGCACCTCCCAGTAGTCACCTTGCTGCTGGCTCTGAGGGCAGTAGGAGTACTGCCGGCTTTGGTCTGAAAGGCCAGCCTGGCTCTGGCTCCTGGAGTGGCTCCAGGACCCTCTCAGCCCTGCTGGCTGTTATGAATCCCGTTCACAAGGCGAATGAGCCTTGCCTGTGTGCTGCAGCAGACAGCCGAGGCTGCACACCATGCAGTAGCCTGCAGGGCCATGTTGGCCTTCTCTGTGAGTCAGTTGTGTCTCACTCAAGCTTCAGCAAAGGTTTGGGGTGAGAAGAGAAGGCAGCGCCAACCCCACTCCCACGAGCCCAGCTCTCCCAGACCACAGCACAAGAAAGGCTGGGGAATGCTCCATCAGAAGCCTCAGAAAACCCCAAGAACTAAGCCTCACAGGACAAGCTGTGCATGCTTGCAGCCCACCAGACAGCCTCTCCCCTGCGAGGGTGGAGGAGCCTCTGTCTCCAAAGCTCTCTCCACTCCGTGACAGAGTGCCGCCCGCCACCACCACTGCCTCAGCTCCCCACAGGCGCAGGCACTGCAGCACAGCACAGACACGCAGCAGATGGCATTTGGCATCTGCTCAGAGAATCGACCGTCGGCTGCTTTGCTCCCTCCTGGTTTTTGGCTGTGCCTCCCCGTGAGAGATGCCTTTGCCAGGATACTTCATGTTCCCTTAGATTACAAATTTCTTCTCTCCGGGGGTGGTATGAATGGTGTTGGGCAAGAGCATGGGCTTTACACTTTCTTCGTGATTCTGGGGCTTACAGGGGGAAAAAAGCTGCCGCTTTTTCTTTCCATCCTTGTAATGATGACAGGAGCAATGTGGAAATAAAGCTGCTGAGTTTTGGCTGAGCTTGTCCATGCCCTGGCTGCAGTGGGTGACTGAAAGGACCCTTCCAGCTCAGGGCACAGCTGGGAGCCTGTCACACCGCTTGCAGGGTCTGGGCAGCTCACCAGAAGGGTCAGCGCTAATTAGTAATTGCAGCCCTATTTCAGCATAAAACCGAATGACATCTCTCACCACCCTGGTGAAGGAGGTTTTCCCTCCCCCATCCCACCCAGGAGATAAGTGCCAGTTGGTTTTGTGTGTAACAGGAGCTGGTCAGCCCCAGGGTCAGAGCTACCATGGGGATGCCCAGCAGCTCTCAGCCCTGAAGCCAAGAGGGGTTGTTGCTATGGGAATCAAGAGGGTACTCGCAGACAGCAGCTGGAGCCCGTGTCTTTCCCTGTTCAAGGCAGCTGGATTTGGAGAGAAGCAAAACTAAAAGGAGGTGACAGAGAGAGACAGAGGCACAGCAAAATTCATGCATGTTAGAGGAGGGACCTTCCCAGAATGAGAGTACAGTGGGATACAGAAGAGCGGGGACACCAAACTGTCAGGCAGCCGTGGCTCGGCTTGGTAGGATAAACCTAATTTTCTCCTGTTTGTCGCTGGAAAAAAGTCCAGTGAAAACCCAACTGTAACAAGATGGGATCTGCCTCCTCAACTTACCGGTCCAAGTGTATTTATTTGGATATTGATGGAAGAATTCAAAAGGTACTTTTGCTGTTTTTCACAAAGTAGCATCTCCGGACGCAGCAGCGGCTGCGGGCTGTGTTTGCTGCACGACCTATTTCTGTAACGCGAGTTAGATCCGCGCTTGCCTTCAGCGCCGTCCACACGGCATTCAGTGGGCTTCAAATCTCTTTCTAAGGGGAAGCGGGGGGAGTGGGGGGGATCTTGAGCTGCTGCTGCTTTGTACACAGATGTTTATTTAAAGGGGAAGGGGAGGCTGGCAGCAGGGGAGGGCTGGGCACTGCCAGCTCTCACTGGAGGTCCGTGGTTTAGCAGCTGTGCAGGAGCGTTGCGATGCGTTTACAAAGTTTTTTGCCTGTGGAGAGGTTTTCACCCCAGCAGTGGGAGCGTGGAGCACGGAGTGCGCCAAGTTATGTGGATATTGCTGTGGGGGGCTTGAGCAATGGGCGTTTGGGCGTTTTCCTACCATCAAGCTGGACAGCAGGCAGATGCCCGGCTGCTGTGCGATGGGGTCACTGCTGCCTTTGCACCTTGGCTCAGAAATGATGATAAACCTTCATTAATTAAAACTTTCACTTCCATTAGCCTGCCCTGTTTGCTTAACCATGGTTCACAGCACAGGGAAAACTGCAGAGAGAAATGTATTCTAGCTAAGAGGGAGAGCTCGCACGCTGTCGAGCTGACAGCCCACTGCTTTTAAACAGAAACAATGCCGCTCCATTTTTGCAAGTCTCTTCTTTCTTCTTTTTGACAGCAATGCTTTGGCCACAAACCAAGTGCTTTTTTTGTAATAGAAGGCCGCTTGTGAGGCTCAAGAGCAAGTAAACTCTTTGAGTCGCAGAATTCAAATATCTCTCTCTCATCTTCCTGCTCTAAATTTCTTTTCACCCAGCCTTGCCTTTTGTTTCTCCTTTAAAAAGAAAGAGCAAAAATACCCTTTCCCTTCCCTCGCCTTTGCTACAAGAGTGACAGCAGAAATGAGGTAAATGGAGAGCTAGTACTCACAGTCCCGTCCCACCGCGCACACCTCCGTTGCCTATGGTGCCTCGGAGACCCACCGCAACTGCCAAAGTCGTGTCCTCAGGAACAAGACCTTGGAGAATCCAGATATGCACCAGTTCCCCAGAGCAGGCTGCTCCTCTTCATCCATCTTGAGGCTTAGACATGACAGTGATCCCTCTGATGCTGTGGGCTCCTCTGTACCAGTGGGCAGGAGCATGCTGGCTCTGCTGAGCTGAAGGCACTGCTTCTCTATTGCTGGGGCTTAATGAGTTGGTTGCCTGACAGTCCCCCAAAGAAAGGCTTGTATGGAGCTCCCTGGCATCTTTACAGTTCAGTATGAAAATGTTTCAGCATTTTGAAAGGGTGGCGAGTGTTTCTATAAATATTGGTAAAGCACATTGTCTGTCATCTACGCTGGCTTAAAAAAGCCCAGAAAAGCATTTCCCAGAACCAGTCTCCTGAGAGTGCTTTTGACACTAAAAACACAGAAGAGGCACGATCGCATGAGCAAGCAAAGGCAAACTCAGGCAGTATTAAGGGTTTTTTGCTCGATGAATGTTATCTGTTTCTTTTGTCAGATGTGAAATTCCATCTGTGCAATGTCTGGAAGGATTCCTGCAGTAAAAATGCTGTGTAAATGGCGTTCACCCAGGGGTAAGCAGGGCATATCTCAGATTCCCATGCCTCCTCAGTAACAACATCATTAGAAAGAAATAAAAACAAAAATCCAACCTTAATCTTCCGAGGAATGCAGTATTGGAGCCTTCTTAGAGGGAACTCATTAAATCAATGCTAAGCTACTCGTCAGCCCAGTAATGAGGTGTGAGCTTCATTATAACAGCACTTGTTGGGTTTGAAAGGGCTCAGGTCCAGCTTGCAATTGTCTTGCTGGATATCTCAGAGTTGTACAGTAGAACTGGGCATCCTACAGCAGTGCTACCTGTGACAGCAATTATTCACAGGAAATTTTGTGCTTCCATAGCCTCATCGCAATTTCTACTGGTGTAGCCTCAGGGTGTGCTACTGACTTCAGATGAAGTTGTTTTGCCTCGGCACTGGAGTAAATGAAGGGGCAAACCAGGCTCTGAGAGCTTCATGAAGCCTCCCTTGGGAACCAGAGCTTTGCAGATGAGCCCCTGAAAGTGTTCTGCAAAAGGAGTGATGAATTAAGCTAAGTAGGTTTGTGTGCTGGCAGGTCCAGAGGGGCACAGCAGGGAGGGCAGAGGTACGATCACTGAAGGAGAGTTTGCTGGGTTGGAACCCCTTCTGGGGAGTCATTGAAATGAAGGAGGCACCATCAGCAGGGGTTGAATACAGGACCGTGCAAAGGGCAGCATGTCCCAGAGGAAGGGCTGAGGTCCATACCTTCAAGGCCAGTGCCGTGAACACCCAGGACTCCAGCAGCCTCCTGTGTGAGGGTGGTCGGAAGCTGGGAGCAGAGGGGAGCCCAGCCCAGCGGTGTTGGACATCACTCTGTTATCACACTGGGAAAGCCTTGCCCTCACCTCCACAACTTCCTTGGCTCTCACCCTTTCCCCTCATCCCATCCTGCCTTTGCCCAAAGAGTGTCCCAGTCATTTGTCACAGTTTGATAAACTGACTTTTCAGAGCTACGGGCAGGTAGAAAATTGTCTTCACCAAAGCTGGCGGCAGGGACAGGCTCTCCTCCAGTGGGCAGGTGGCTGAGCATCTTCTCATGCTCAGGGACAAGCAGCAAGGGCTTTGGGATAGACGTGAGATGACCCAGCCCAGCAAACACCAACCATGGTACCACCACAGGCACCTGAGCTCAGGATCTCCCAAGGGGTGGCTTTTGCGTCCACCAAGGGAGGGATTTGGGCTGCTGGTACCTGTGTCCCACCCAAAGGGCAGGGAACGGGATCTCCTGTGGGGAGGTCACCTGCAGAACTGGTGGAGGTAGAAGCAAATGCAAAGCAGGAGATGGAGGGAACAGCCTTGCTGAAGCTGCAGGAGAGGGAAGATCAGAGGTTTCACGGTGCTACAGCTGTATGCCAAACCGGGGCTCTGCGCAAACCGGCTTCAAAGAGGTCACTTGTTTCAGAGCCGAGTGAAAAATGAAATTACAACACAACGTGCTTCCTATCCAGTGCCTATGTAAAGAGAATGCACACCTGGGGGAAACACGTGGCCGTGTTTCACATAGGATACCGTGATCTTGCAGTACCACTGAGGACAAGGATTTCTCCTTGTTCCTGGAATGCCACTAGATGGGGTCAAGCACCCAACCCCCCAGCCTGACAGCAAAGAAGTGAGGTTTGCTCTGGCAAACTTAAGCCGGATCTGGAGTCTTTATTTTCCTTCATGATGTTGTTAACCCTTTGGCTGTGTTTTTAAGAAAAATTCCTATTGAGTATGTTTCGAATTAAAAATCCACCAGCAAGAAAATATTCCCCAGCTCATGCCCAGCTTTTTTCCGTGAGGAAACTACTGGCAAACGTTTTCTTTTGACCTTTGAGATTTAAATGGTAGCAAAGCTGAACCAGCCAGTGGCCTTATTCCCTGATGGGTGGCTTCATGGCTCTTATTTTCAAATGTCACGGGGTAGTGGTTTTGCTGACAGAGTTGTAAGTTTCTCTGAGATGAATGTTTAATTTGAGAGGATTTCTGCTTCCAGTGTCTTAATCAACATCATATTTGTAACAGGGATGGAAAATCAGAAGGGCACAGAGCCTGAACTAACTGGAAAAAAGAAAAGGACCGCTGCCTTTGTCAAGGATTCTATGAAATCACCCAGGGTGGTATTTGCTTCCTCTTCAGAAAGCAAGTGAAGAATTTTGGAGTCATTTTGCTGGTTTACTGAGTCATTCGGGATGCCAAACAGAGAAATTACTTTTTTTTCTCTCAAGGAAATGTATTGAGTTCAACCTTTCTGAGTGTCTGCTGCACTGACCTGTGGAGTAGGATGCTGTCTTTTCCACAACCGTTGTTCCTCTTGGTCTGAGGTGCACAATGAACAGAACAGCGCCAAGACTGGGTTTTGGTGCTGTGGTTATTGCACTGAAATGTCAGCGCGCAGGAATCATTCCTGTCATGTGAGCTTTTCTTTTTAATTAGAACAGCAACAGCAACTGTGGTGTAAATGCTCAGCCTGTAGCAAACCCAACAGATTTTTCCGAAGCTCACCGTGCTATTTTTAACACATCAAACTGGATTCAGGGTGAAAACAAAACACAGCAAAAAAATAATGGCGTGGCAATCAGTTCAAGGCATGAACATATTTTTGGGTGCAGCAGGGCAAGGATGCTCTGCAATGCCCATAGACCTCATTCCCTGTCTGTTTGGGCTGGGGATTTAGAGCAACACTTTTCCAGCCGCCGACCATCAGAGGGGTGCACAGTCGGGACACGGACACCCCCAGGGGTCGCTCTTCCTGGCTGGTGTTCCCAGGTTCTTCCTATGCATGGACAAGCCAATGACGCATAAGCGCAATGAAGCATAAGTATGTTTTTGTGGGATCAAGGCCATTTTCTTAGTGCTGGCAAACGTTTGTGAGTGAGGGAGTGTGCAGTGTAGCACAGCCTAAGTCTGGCCAGTGATTTTGGCAACCTTGGCTCTCCAATTTCATCTGGCCCCAGTGAATTCAAGGCTGCTGCTAGATGTTCTTGTTGTAAAGCAGCATGAAAGCATTTCAGGTTCCTGAAGCTCCATTACATTACAGCACATAAACACTTTAAAAAGTAAAAATGGCTTAAAACCATGGTTTTAAAAAAGTGAAAGAAAATGTCAGACTTGAGGCCTCTCTCTCTCCTACTCCCCCTTATCTTTCCAGCGAGGGATCCTCAGGACATTTAGGGAGCCAAACCATAATCCCAGAACATCTCTGTAAATCCAGCATAGCTCTATAGTTATTCTGTACTCATCACTCAGAAAGTCTTGTTTATTGCCATTTATCTTTCTGAAGTCACACACAGTCTATTATTACAGTGCATGTTCACATTACCCAGGACAATGCGTGAGTTTAACACTCTTGTACTAGCATTACCTATGGATTCAGACGA